ATATTATTACCAAAAAAAAAATCACTAAATTTGGATTTACTTGAACGAGGCAAAAACAACTCCCTTGCTTTTCTCATAGAACCTAGTACTGACCACACTAAAAGCTTACGGAAATTGAATTCCATTGGCTGAGCTTCATCTCCCCTACACTCACCTCCTAGGTTTTTCCTGGACGACAGGACAGTAAGTCAGGCCAATCCCCACTCCACCATCCCCACCCCCATTAAAAAAAAAAAAGGCAGAGGAGAAAACTCAGGTCAAACACATGGGACCCAAGGTGAGCCTTCCCTGTGGCAGAAGTGAATCATGTTTAAAATCAAAAAATGAACACTGGATTAAAAAAAAGAGGAGTTTCTGAAGCATTATTAATCAATTCAATCAGTTTTAAAACCACATATAAATAGCTCTTGCAATCTGTTTTATGTGAAATAATTATTTTTCTAGATGTCCAATACTAAAAATAACTGTAAAGTTATGATTTTTTTGAGGATGGGGGACACTTAGTGTTTGGGAGGAAAATTTCATTATTTAACTTTTAAAAATTCTGAATATTTTCCATAAATAGAAAATACAAAAAGATGATTTTATATGAAACTGAATTTCCATTTCATGATGCTTGCTTTAAAGGAAATTACACATTACTTTCAAAACTGTCCTACTTGGTTTAAGACTCTATAAAGATTCCAGAAGATCCTCACAGGCAACCCCACCATGCCTCAGGAGAATTTTATGAATACTCCACAAAGAGAAGAAAAAGATTCTAGTAACTAGGAGCTGTGAATTATCTCCCTTGCTATATGTGATTTAAATTTAAACCCACTTGTATGTATTTGTGAGTATGCCATCAATTGTGGAGGACATTTCTATCAAAAATACTTGTTGTTTAATCAATTAGTTGTGTCTGACTCTTTGTGAGCCCATTTGGGGTTTTCCTTGGCAAAGATACTGGAATGGTTTGCCATTTCCTTCTCCAGCTCATTTTACAGATGAGGAAACTGAGGCAAACATGGTGAAATGACTTGCCCAGGGTCACACAGCCAATAAGTGTCTGAGGCTGGATTTGAATTCAGGTCTTCCTGACTCCAGGCTTGGTGCTCTATCCACTATGATCAAGTGAATTGAATGGATGAGTTTCTGAATGAATTGACTTTTGACAGTTAAGGGCAAACTTTCATATATGCATATTTTATTTTAAAAAATCACTCCATCAACGTGGCCAAATATAAACTCCTGAAATATATAGATGCCCATAAGTCTGCAATAAGATCATCATCATTTACCCCCATTTTTAAGATAGATAAGTAGCAGAACTCATTGGTGTTAGTGTCTTTGGGGGCCTTCTTAAAACCAAAAAAAAGTAGCTCTGACAAGGAGGAGTGATCAGGGTTTATCTATAAAGTGGAGATTATCTTTGGAGAAATTTCTGTAGCCTAGATGAATATCTCACGCACTGGATGAACCTTATGTTTAAATAAAAGTATATCCCTTATAAATGTTAAATTTGCTTCTTTTCCCATTCTTTTGAAAGAACCTGCATCAATTTCAGTCTCTTAAGCATGAGTTAGGGGTCATGGAGGGTTAGTGGGGACATTAACGGATGGCTTTTACTAGAAATACAAGGGAGATATTAATATAGCATGGCTGGTAATGGTAGACTCTGCTGTGTACTTAGGCAGAGGCCCAGGGTAAAGTGCCTGCCAGTTTACACAGATATGAATCATGAATCTCCAGAAGCAGCCTAAGAGACTTCAATGTCCTGAACAGAGGGAGTAAAAAGGCAACTAGAGAATCAGACCTTCAAAGTGCCAAAGAACAAGCAAGGATGTGGTAATTCACAAAGAAATAAAAGGCAAGGAGCAAGTGCTAAGGGAGATGCTGGAAGTGAGCACAACTTGGGGCCCTTGGGAAAACCAATCCTGCTTCCTTTTAGTTGTATGAACTGCGATGGAGGAACAGGGCCCAGGCTAGGTTGCTTCTGTAGTGGAAACAGGCACGAGATGAGGAAAGAGAAGAAAAAATGCCTTCCTCAAAGCAGATCCATACATTTTTACATTAAAGTGGGCTCAAATAGAGGGCAAATCACATGAAAATTCACATGTGCAGGGGAACAAAATAGCCAGAGACTCACAAAATCCCAGGATCATATGAAGAACCAAGTTCTCCTCTTTAGCCTTCTTAAAATCGGAAAGCTAGCTCAGATATGAAAGGGTGCTCAGGTTTCATCAAAAAAGGGGAGATTATCTTTGGAGAAAAGATGAAAATCTCACCCAGTAAAGCAGGGGCAAAACAGACAAAATATATGGGAATTATAAGGGTGGGAGAGTGGAGGAATCCAAAGGCCAGTGACCCCCACAATATAGTGATCCAAAATATAACCAAAAGTTCTAACATCTAAACATCCTAAAAGCAGGAAAAAGCACTCAATCTGATGTAGACTGGGTGGGAGGGAAGATAACACAAAACCATGTTGTAATGTTCAGAAATGGTTCCAGTTGGAAGCCTGAAATTAACAAGAGATTACTATTTTAACATGGAGCTTAATAATATGCACGTTTTTCCTCGAAGGAAGAAACAATCCTCAAAGCACCGACTGTATTTTTCTTTGCATTTTCTTTGCATGCAATAATAGTGTGAGGCCCTGAATTCCTTCTAGATCATAGGATCATAGATTGAGCACCAGCAAGGACCTGAGAGGTCACCAAGTCAAACCTCCTCATTTTGCAGATGAGGAAACAAGAGCTCACAGTCCTTATGTAATTTGCTCAGGGCTAGTTGGTGTTCAGACTAATCTTTTCCACTGGGTTACTAGACTTGTAGATCAAGGAAATGCAATAAGTACTTTACCTACATTTCGACTTTTTTGTTGTTTAACTGATGTCAACTAGCACAAGAGTATGTCAAAGTACATGACATTTGTCATCTATGGTCCCCTTCCTTTCCTTCTCTACAAAGGTGGGGGAAATAGATTTAGATTTTAGCAAAGCACTTGAAAAAGTTTCTCATGATACTCTTGGGGGCCCTAAATAAAAATATGTGGGTTAGATATTAGTTCAGTTAGGTGGATTTGGAACGGTTTGAATGGTCAGAGTCAAAGAACATTGATTTATGGTTTTGGGTCAATGTGAACATCTCCAGGCAACTGTGTTTGGCCCTATGTTAACTTTTTTAATCAAAGATGTAAAGGCACGGGTGTCATGCTTATCAGATTTGCAGATGAGAGAAAGTTAGGAGGCATAGCTAACACATAGGATTATCCTATTAAAAACCAAATAGATTGCAATAGGCAAAAATATGTTGGAGCAAATCAAGAGGAAATTGAATAGGGATAAAAATACACCTGGGGTTAAATAAAAAAATTCACTGGTACCAGATGGAGGAATGGCTAAATAGCAGGTTATCTGAAAAAAAACAAGGGGTTTTGGTGGGCTGTGAGCGCTCTGATTTCAAAAAGGGGCTCAGACATATGAAGAAGTCATAAATTCTTTCTCAATTTCACCCCTACAAAAATATATTTCCATTTGCCTTTCCCCCAAACCTGCCTACCTCCAAGGGGGCAACTTTGGAAAAAAAGAGACCTCCATTGGCTCTTTTCTAGACCAGCTTTTGTCCCTAGACTCTCCAATATCAACCTTCCTATTGTAGCACCTACCTCTTCAGATCACCTGTGCCCACATCAACCTCCATGCCTGAGATCTGTTGGTTTTGAAAATACAATCAGGAATGCCTTCTTCTTGGGGTATGGCTACAGTTCTTCTTCAGTGAATTAAGATTACCATTGCTTTCTTTGACCTGGTAGTTCATTTAGAGAGAAACAAACACTTCTTGGATTCTCTGGGTTATTTCCCAAATGGATTCATCTCACTCATTTTTCTATCCCCAATCTTCCTCAAATCCACATTGAAGTATATTAATCAGCACTGAAATACATATAGCTAAAGTTCCTAATCAGTAGTTCTAAATCTGCCAGTAGATTTGGATACTGTACTGAAAAGCAAAACATCCACCCAAAACCCAAACTACTTACAGAATACCCTACCTCTTTATCTATGATCTAATGCTTCTTTCTCAGTAGTGCAAATAACTCTGAATTTGGAATGGGAAGACTAGGGTTCAAATCCCAGTTCTGCAATCTATTACCTTTGTGACCCAAGGCAAATATCCACCTTGCTGGAGCTAAATTTCCTCATCTGTAAAATGGCAGGGGTTGAGAGAGGGAAATTTTCATAGTCCCTTCATCTATTTCTAGATTTACAAATTTAAAGCATCAATTTAGTCCACACATGAAGATGTGGACCATTACCTATTTGATTTAGACTAGATCACAAATCTCTCAGAAGAGTAGAAAATCCAAAGGATCATGAAAGTGGACTTGGAAAAACTGAGGACACAAAGTTTTTAATCAAAGTAAGCAATGACAGGTTTATTTAAAATTTCCAGTAGAGAAGACCCACTAGTTTTGGAATAAAAGTACTCAAAGTACTACAGCTTAAGTGAATATAAAAGATTAGCAGAAAAAAAAAATAAAACCAAACATAGTACAAAAAAAAAAACCTGGAAAATAAAAATAATTTTAAAGTTTGAAAGGAATTCAAAACAGGGGTGTTCTTTTAAATCCTCCAAACATTTAAACAGTGACTAGGTTTGGCAAAATAATGCATTTACAGATTAAAGCCAACTTGTTAACGTAAACTATGTAAAAATGCTCAGTCAATCCAAGTTCATTGTACAATATTTTGAAGGAGAGTCCATCTCCTGACTCTGGTAATTGATTATTTTTTTTAAAAGATACATGGATTACTCAGTTGCATAACTGCTTATTTGGGGGGCAATGCAAAAAATGGTTTAAAAGTAGGATAAAGTTACTATAAAAATTAAATGAAATGCACAGTAAAAGTTCAGATATCAGTCTGTTTCTTTAAACTAAGAAACTGGGTTTACAGTATGGTCTACATTTTCAGTTGCCACATTCCCCTCCCTTCCCCCCTCCCCCCCACCCCAAATACTCCTAAAATCCTCTAGTCTAATCAATTCTAAACTTCCAAATACACTGTACATACACATTTAGCAGAGAGCAGATGCTAACATTATTGTGACAGCAGTGTGGTCAGCCCACAAATTTTAGAAAGACTATTACACATTATATCAAGATTAACCTTTACTTTAAAAAAAACAAACAAACAAAAAAAAAAGAACAACCCAGGAACTCTTACTAAACAAATAGGTTTTTTAAAAAATATTGTGAAAAGCCCATAAAAAAGGAGACTCTCATTATGGGCTCCCAACCGGATAAAAAACACACTTCAGAGAGACTAACGGCTTAATGCTAAACACCTGCCAAACGATGCCCTTCAAAGTGCCAAATACAAAAGGATCTCTTAGGAACACTTGTCCCTCGGACGAATTGTCCCTCATTTGGCCATTTCTTCTTGAGCGATACACAAAACCCCGCTGAAAGATCTGCATCCAGTCGACTTTACAAGAGAATGTTACAATGTAAACGAAATGAGTTCTTGATACCGACAGTATGTTACAACGGTTTTAGTTTTTGAATCCAACAGTTGGTCACAGAGGTCAAGTATTACCAAGGCTCCTTTTCAGCCTGTTGTCAATTTGTCAATGTGTCTGACTCAAACATCCTTCAAGTACATGCAAGGCTCAAGAGTTCCAAAAGAGGCAGAATCCTGGGGATGAGGGGTGGGGTGGGGTGAAGGGGGCCATTTATGACACAGATGAAATAGGATTATGAGGTGAGCCCATCTGAGTAAGAACTTTATCCAACCACTGTAGAGGACCATGCAGATGGATCTCGATCCAGCAGGGAGTACTGGTTACATCCTGCCGGTGGTATTCTGCTCCCCAGCCCTGGAAACAAAGCACAGTATATATCAATGACCTACTCAGTTACGTGGACACTGTCAGATCTGCTGAAGAGAAAGCAGGACACACAAACAGATGTCTCAAATACTGTGAATTTAAGTGGAAAGCGTGTTATTTTACTGTTTGACTTCATTACAAAAAGCAGAGAAGGTATGCCTTCATTACTTTTGATCAGAATAGTTACGGTTCAACAGAAAGACACAGATTTAGAATTACAAGGGCCTTTGAGGGTAAGCTAGTTCAACCTACTCATTTAAAAGAGGGGGAAACTGAGGTCCAGAGAGTTTTAGTGACTTGCCTAGGGTCATGTAGGCACAAATAACAGAGATGGTATGTGAACCCAGGTTGTTGTAGTCCAAATGCATGGCTCTTCCTGTTATATTGAGATGCCTCTACTTTAGAGCTGACTTCAAATCCTGCTTCTAACACTCGTTATTTATGGACAGATAAGCTGCTCTGTCTCCGTGTGCCTCGGTTTCCTCCAGTGTACAATGGGGATAATACTTGCATGGTCTCATAGAAAGTAGTGAGAAAAGTGTTACAGAAAAGTGAGTCATTTTAGATTATAAGCTCTCCTTATGAAGCATCCTTTATGCAAAGTTTGCTACTCACCTCCTGAACAGCGAATCAACGAACTTAAAATGTAGAATGAGACATAAGTTTCTGAACATGGTCAATGTAGGAATTTGTTTTGCTTGACTATGCATATTTGTTATGAAGGGTTTTTTTTGAAAGGAGTGTTTTTGGGGGACAATAAATGCTTATTAATTATAAAAATAAGAAAACTTAAGTGTAAAAAGAAAGAATATTCCTCTAGCAAAATGTAAACTCCTTGAGGATAGGAACTGTTTAAAAAAAATCTTTCTTTGAATTCACAGAACATAGCAGAGTATCTGAAACATAAGTGGCACTTAATTATTGAACTGATTTACACAACAAAAAGCAAAACAACATATCATCTTAAAAGCTATTTACATTACATGTTATTAGCTTCTCCACAAAAGTTCTATTTGGACCAGAAGGTTAGGAGAGGCCAGGACTCTTGGAATCCCAAAGAGAACAATCCTAGGAATGGGCTCTATGGAAGAACAATCTATCTGAACATAAGAGGCTTACTTCCAAAAAGTTAGTCCTCAAGTTATGAATGTCTTTGGGTACAGCACCTTATGTAAATGATCACGTAAGGCTTGCAATCTCCACTAGTAGAGACCTTCAAATGATGGTTTCATGGATATTCTGAAATATTAGATTAACTAGGAAAGGAAAAGAGCTGAAATACTGAGAGGGAGGGGGGACTACAAATAGAGACTTTGGAGAAGATCGATCCATCAGTTGGGAAAGATGAACCATTTAATTTAGAAAGACAAAGTACCTGTAGGAAAGCACATTCCTAGTGAAGCAAAACCAAAACAAAGCAAGCCACCAAGCTCTGGTCTTATACCATATATGCAGGTGTTCCAGCAGAACGCTTTTAAAAAAGCAGCATCAGCACCGGCATTGGGCCCTCCTCTGATATGGCAATTGGTTTCTAGAGAAGTGATGTGGTTCTTGAAGCCAAGTTAACAGTGGAGCACAAACTTGCTTGGGTCCTCCCCAATCTGGAAAGCCCTAGCTATCTGTGGTTGCTCATCAGGTTGGTCAGTTTGAGCAACTTTTTAGCCCTAGCAACTCTCACCATGGGAGAGTGGGTTGCATGGGAGCATACTTGACCTTAAGACACAATAAAGTAAATTATTACTTTAAATTACAATTTAAATTATATGTATGTATTTTTATTATTTATTTGTTATTTTATTTATTATATTTAAAGAATTTATTACTTATGTAATTTAAACACAGTTAAATTATTACGATAAAGTAAATTATTACTTCAATGCCTACACTTTTTTAATGGCAATAATGGATAGAGATATTTTATCTTTCTCAATACTATCCATGAAGACTCCTAATTAAGAGCAGTTTTAGAGTTACAAAGTGCTCCAAATTCCCACTCACTTGTTCCCTCTAATAACACTATTAGTTAAATAGTACAAGGATTATCCTCATATTCACGTGAAGACAGCCTAGTATCCATGATCTAATTAAATTAAATGCTCTTGCTACAGGTGAGGTGGCTGGTCAGAACACCTTAATCAACTAATTCCACCACCACCCTCAAAATTGATACTGGATTGAGTGGTCACTGAATTTAGATTTGGGTCAAAAGCCACCCCACTGGCAAGAAGCTCCAGGGTCATGTAATGAAGACTAAGGGCATCAAGGGATAGAAACTCCAAGATTAGCTACCATGGTATGGTGTTGTTCCTCCAACAGGATTGGGGAAACTGAAAAAAAAACCAAGCATCTCTTCTTCCTTTAGGGCTGTGACATCCCATACACTTTGGGCAACTCCCACTGAGGCTGAAGCCAGGAGGCAGGTTGGGGGTGGGAAGAGATGGAAACAGTGACCAGGTGTCCTGAACTATGTGAGCTTTCTACAGGCTGATGCTGAGTACTTGGGCACGGGAGTGAAAGAAAGCAAGGGGATGGCCCAGGAATCACCTGGAATGGTTAATTAAAATAGCAAGTCAGTCAACTACCACTTATTAAATGCTTACCAGGTACCATGGCACTATTTTAAGCAAAGGAGATACAAAGAAAGACAAAAAATACTGTTCTTACCCACAAGGAACAAGTGTACCTGTAAATAATTATGCACATACAGAGTTACATACAGAATGAAAGAAAAGTAATCTCAGTGGGAAAGGGAATGGAGGAGAGATAGAGAAAGGTTTCCTACAGAAGGCAGGATTTGAGCTGAGGTTCAAAGGAAGCTAGACAAGCTATGAGGAAGTCAAGGGGTAGAGCATTTCAGGCATGGAGACAGCCAGTGTGAAGGCCCAGAGAGGGGAGGTAGAGAGCTGTCTTCGAGCAACTACGGGTAGGCTGCCCTGGCTCTAGCATGCGTTGTCAATATGTGTGGACATGTGTGAGAGGGAGAGCGGAGATGCAGAGGGGTGGATGGGAAAGGGTGTGCCAGTCCCTTGCACCATCCCTAGGGGCCCCTAGACCCACCATTAAAGGCCTAACAAGCACCTATTTAACAATAATTAGCTAAACTGGGAAGCTACCAGATAGTTTGCCTGTCATTCCCTGCTCTGCCTGCTGCAGCTGAGCTCCTGGCCTCATGCCAGCCCCCATGTCTCTTCTCCCCAGAAACTAAAGGCACCTTTCCCACCTCTTGCCTCAGGTATAGAAATTCCTAGTTAGAGCTCTGTCCAGAAGAATGATGTCAAGTCCATAAGCACTATGTGCTATGATTTAGTTTTTAAAAGTAAGAAAGTTCCTCCTCTAGATATTCATCAGTACCTCTTGAAGTGCACAGCAGGAAGATTTTTCAGACAATAAAATGTAGGAAAAGAAGTGTTTTGCTGAGTTTGGGGCAGGAAGGCAGAAAACCATTAATGGAATCTGGGACCACGACTCAGTTACATACATTCTGATTCACAGACTAAATGATGTATAATACTATCAAAAGCTGTTTCTATTTTGTGTAATATCCCATGATTAACACTGCAAACTAGTTTTCTGAATAATCTCTGTGTTTTTACTATATTGTTCTACCTACTACACAGAAACTACATTTGACTGGAAAAATCAACATCCATAAGGAAAATTAAAAGAAAGAATATGTTTTCTTAAAATTACCATGGATTCTGCATAGTTTACTATCCACCAGGGTTACCAGGCCAACTCAAATCTTTACACCCCCACTATATCTTCTTGAGGCCTTCCTGGAGCATATAAAAAAGGGAATCTGTCTGTCTGGACGGAAATGGAGGAAGGAAAACTTGGCTACTGGGGATGGGGAACTTTGCTGGTGACTTCTCACTTGGTTTTGGTTCAACAATAAAAAAAACAAACCAACAATCAAAAAACTTTCAATAATTTTTCCGTTATTCAGTCGTTCAGTCATGTTTGACGCTTCATTACCCCATATAGGGTTTTCTTGGCAAAGATACTAGAGTGGTTTGCCATTTCCCACCCCAGTGAATTAAGGCAAACAGAAGTTAAGTGACTTGCCCAGGGTCACACAGTTAGTGAGCATCTAAGGCAGGATTTGAACTCAGGTCTTTCTGACTCCAGGCACTCCAGTACTCTATCCACTGAGTCACCTAGCTGCCTCTCAAGTTTTCCCTAGGCATATTCAAAATGAAGCACAATTTTATGTTTTTACCAATAAACAGTCAAGGGTCCAGCAACCCACTGACAAGAATGTCTCACAGAATAAAAGGTTCAGGTTTTGCCAAAAAACTTATTTGTCACTAATCTTGTGAGTTCTTGACTCCCTAACATTAAGTATACCCTCCTATTCTCTACAAACAGTCTTGTTCTTCTATCCACCCCTCAATTGCCCTTTATTACAGACAATGAGATTGTCATATGGTTCTATAGGATCCATTCAAAGACTAGAGATGACAGCTCCCTAAATTAATATTCTCCAGGTTTTTCTACCTCATTTTGGAGGCAGTGGGGTACAGGGGAAGAGGAAAAGATTTGGAGTCTGAGGGCCTGGGTTCACATCTAGTCCCTATCAATGACTACCCATCTGGCACTAGGCAAGTCACTTAATCTCTCTCTCTGGGCCTTAACTAGATCATTTATTAAATGGGAGTAGGGGGAAGCATAGCTTGCTTCTGCTAAAAGACACCCTGCAGCTCTAAATCTATGACCTTATGACCTATATACCCATACACAGCTCTTTGTCCCAGCAGTTCCAGTTCACTAGCTCCTTTCACCCCTCACTGGCCATTTCAGCAGCAACAGCTTAATGATCAGTTCCTGTAGAACCACGCTTCTCAAGCAGACTTGCAAAGAGTGTGCCAAAATTGCCAAAAGGAGCCCTGCTCGATTATCTCTCTATTAGAGATGCCAGAGAAAATGATCAAGCTACCTCATGACTGTGCCCTGAAATCACAGCTTTCTAGGATTCTCCCAGGCTCAAAAGAAATGTAGCCCAGTCTCCCCACGCAGAAGATGATCACCACTATCCTGTTACTAAACTGGCAAAACTAATGTTAGGGTGATGGTCTTCAAGGGGGTTCTTTGAGTGGATTTCTGGTAGACTTAAAAGGCAAATCCCATAAATCTATATAGTTTGGATTTTTTAAAGCTCCTGTTCCATGGCAGATAACCAGCAGATGATAAGTTGGGTTAAATTCTGCTGAGACGCTTCCTCTTATTTCCTTCTCCTTCTTCTTCTTTTTTTTTTTTTAAGCTACAAGTGATGGCTCCCTGTGTAGTGGGAGAGGAGGAGGGCAAGCATGTTTTTGGAAATAAAAGTTATATAAAAAAAGATATCAAAGAAAATTTTAAATGCAAAACAAGTTTATATGTTGTTGCCATCTTGAATCTATATTAAAGCCCCAAAATGAACATTTTTTAAATGTATCACCTACAAAAGGCTACTTTAATCAAGTCCTTCCCCGATCAATGTATGAAGAGGGTATGGTATCAATATGGCCAAATAGGAACCAGACAATGAGCTTGGAGTCACAAGAGCTAGATTTCTAGCCCTATCTGTGATACTTACTGTATGACTCCTTAGGCAAGTCACTTGAACTCTATGAGCCTCAGTTACTTCTTCTGTAAAATGGGGATTATTATGATCAGCACAAGGTTCTAGTGAGAAAGAGCTGTAATTATTATTATTAGGACCAAAGTATCTGTTTCCAAAAGGGAAGGGAGAAAAACTACCCTGGCTGTTTTTGTTAACATCTAGTGATTCTTCGTGATATCAATAGGGCCTCCTTGGTCAGTTATCCCATTAGGAAATGTTTAGCACACAAGAAAATTGTCACCCAAAGTCCTTGGCCCTGTCACATGGTTCAACATCAGAAACTGATGTGATTTTATCAGCAGAAATGACATAAAGAAAAGCCATTATCCATCTGTTTTACCCCTCCACCCAAAGGACCATGAGACCCTTCCAGTTAATTTGCAGCTGAAGCCTTCCAGATGTATTGCCCTCCAGTAGAATGAGTTCCTTGGGAGCAGAGATTGTCTTACTTTTCTAGTTGTGTCCCCAGCATTTAGAACAATGCTTTGCATAGAATAAGCACTTAATAAATGCTTTTTCCCCTCATTCATTTCATTCATTCATAAATGGGTACTTAACAAATTCATGTTATAAAATTCAGTGTTGCTTGGTTAAATATTAAATGTAAAAAATAAAAACAAAACTGACATGATTTTTGGTTTGCAATTATTTTTTTTTTGGCATACACAAAAGTACCAGTTCAGAGTAACTAAGTCATGTCTTTCCAAACTAAGTATTCAGAATAATATTCTTGGAGAAATCACAGGGTTTTAGAGCCGAAATGGGAGGTCATGTAAAAACTCATCTATGGCAAGAACACTGGATTTTAAGATTCTGCTACTTATTCCCTGTATAACCTGCCCTCCCCCCATCACCAAACTTCTGTTTCCATATTTGCATAATTAAAGGGTACAGCTAGAGGATCTGTACAGACACTTCTAGATCTAAATCTTACCAAAGCCTATGAGAAAAGAGCACCTCTTTTCCAAGGCCAGAGATGTAAAGTGATTTGCCCAATATAACAGGAGTAGCTGATTTGCATATGGAGGGATTTTCCACATGGGGATCTGCCCACTCTGATAAAAATAACAAGTTGGAATGAAAATGTCTTAAAGCACTGAATTCTTGTGTAAAGCCAAAACAGTACTCAATGCTCATCAGAAACAAATTCATAGGGTCTTGAGGGGACAATACTGCATTATCATATTGGTCACCCCTGAAAACAAGAGTGCACTCCTACAATGAGATCCCTTGAAAAAGAAAATTATGCCCATGTGCATGCACAAACAGAAAAATAACACAGTGAAGTTTGACATAAACCAATTTGAGAAAGACTGGCACATGCAGAAACCTATTAAATTGATCAGCTTTTTTCAATCTTTCAAGAGAACACACATGCAGAAGGCAGATTTAGAGAAGGAAACCATTAACGTCTAACATATCAACAAACTGCTTGAATGGCCAGAGAACAGAAAAAAAATAAAAATTAAAAATGCCCTGTGCTTCACTTGAAAAAAGGCTTCCTTACTAGCAGGCTAATTAACAAATAGTTCTCCAAATCATCCCCAGAAATTAATACCATTCAGAACAGGTTTAACAACAAGTGGGGTAAAGCTTCTGAAGACAGGACATAAAAGGCTATGGGCCGGGCCCCACCCAGGTGTATAATTAGGCAGGGAGGTTTCCCAAAGTAACAGAAGGCAGGACTACTTCTTCAATTTTCTCCATGCATCTGCCTCCTAGGGAATTAATTCAGGGATAAGAAGTCATTTTGCCTCCAATCTGCCACCAAATCATGTAGAAACCTCAACTAGTATTTAAATACCCATTTAAAAAACTGCCCTTGGAATCAAGAAAATGTGGGTTGAAGTTCCCGTCTCTGACATACACACACTAACCTGTGACCAAGGCAAGTCGCAACCTTTCAGAGCCCCCAGGCAATTCTTTAAATGTATCTTACAGACTGGCCTGCAACAGAAGGAGCTGCCACATGGGTAGCACCCCACACTAATAAAATCTCAGGTTCAGACACCAAAAAAAATTCAATGGCTTCTTATAATTTTTCCTGATATCACAAGTAGAAACAACAGAAATAAATTACTGCATAAACCTTTTCCACCTCAACTTCATGGCTAAGGGCATGAAACATTTAAACAGCCCTAATTACTGAATGGACATTGCCTCAGTCAAAGTGAGAATTTAGCTTAAAAGACCTCAGCTTAAAAGGGCCAAGGTCTCCCACTGCATCCTGGGCTATCTCCAGTTGTCCTGACCTATATCTGGCCACTGGACCCAGATGGCTCTGGAGGAGAAAGTGAGGCTGGTGACTTTGCACAGCCCTCCCTCACTTAAAGCCAATCCATTTGCAAGTCATGGCATCATTTTTCTGATGTCACGGTCCTCTTCAAGAAAGGACAAATCACAACCACGAGGGGACCATGGCGCCTGGTAATAGCTACTGAAAATCATGATGAGCTTAAAAAAAAAAGTCTAGATTTAAGAGGAGGAGAAGAAGAGGATGAAGGAAGAGAAGGAAAAAGAGGAGAAAAAACAAAAACCAAAAACAAATGAGTCATTTATTTATCCCTAAAACACAAGATTTATCCCTGAAACACAAAAAACACAAGTATTATCTTTAAAGAAGTACTAGAAAATGCATATGGGAGGAACAAGAAAACAAGGAAGGAGATCCTAGAGAATGAATTCCATCACTATATATTCTGGCCCAAACATAAGGTTCTCTATTGCACAGCACCAGCCTGGCAGGCAGGGTGCTCCATCCCAGCAGAGAATGGAGTTGATGAAGTCTCCATGTTCTTAACACTTTTAATAAGATAGGAATGCTTTAAGTTGGATGAGATTTCCATCATTTACATCTCTGAAAATTACCTCTATAAAGTCAAACACATCTGAGAGAAACTGTTATAGATTTCGACTTTAAAAATCAACCTTTTAAATTATGAAGAGGGACAATGCATCAAGTTTTTTTTTAGTATCCTATGCCATGGAGAGAATTAGATATCTATGAAATAGCTGGAAATTGCTGGGGGTGAAGACTATCTCCGGATATGGAAACAGGTTGATAAATAGACAGACAGATAGATGGGTGTATATATCTGAATGTTATGTGAGCATTTATATATGCCTGTATATAAATTCATACTTATATGTAACATTTATTTTTATGTTTATATATAAATATATGTGTATTTATATCCAAATCCAGAGATAACCTTAAACTCCCAGCAATGTGTGTGTGTGTGTGTGTTGAGGGAGGGAAACGTGATTTCACTGGGGTAGGAGAACTCCTATGTAAGTATACTTTCTCTACACATCTGAAATGTCTCTAACTTTTCCAATAAAATGCTGCCCAAGATCACCGATGGAATGTGGCAGGGCCAGGAAAAGAATCCAAGTCTTCCTAATTCCTAAGGCCAGCCTCTCTGAACTCTAGGAAAGAAGAGTCATAGAAAACTTATGACACAGGGAGATTCTTCCTGGAGCTCCAAGGCCTCCCTTCTTCCCCCAACCAGCCCATTTCCAAAGGGGCTTTTGCCAGGGAAGCTGCCGAGAGGGGGCTGCCCACCTTCACGAAGCTCATCCGGATCGTGCACATCTTTGTGAGCTCATAGACCGTCTCAAAGCCATGGTTGACTGACTGGGCCAACAGCTGGGCAAACTCCTGGTTGTTGAAAATCTTTAGGCTGCAGCCACTGGGGATCTTGCACACGGTGGTGGGGTGAAAGCCATGGTGGTAGTTGCAATTGCGGCTCTGAACAAAGATGCTACTGTCACTCAGGCACTCTGCATAGACTTCCCCTCCGACGTAATACAGGTGAACACCTGAGAGAGAAGCAAGAATCAGCCGAGCAAGAACTGGGAGAAAGGAGAGCAGATACACTATGCAGATGAGGTTTGGGGGAGGGGGGAATCACTTATAAGGGAAACAAAAATGGGAGTGTGTGTCAGAGAAGAGATGATGAAAATGTACTTCCCCTCTCTTCACATACATCAGCAGGAGGTCAGGGGGCTACAGAAGCAGAATAACACAGACACTGCCATGGAATCTCTCTTTTTCCTTTTTTTATCTTTAATAGGGGGAAGGGAAAGGTATAAGCATTTATATAAGCCCCTACTATGTGCCAGGTACTGTGTTAAGCATTTTTCTCAAATATTTTCTCACTGGATTCTCACAACAATCCCGGCAGGTGGGTGCTATAAATTATCTGCATTTTATAGTTGAGGAAGTTAAGGCAAACAGAGGCCAAACAATTAGTGTCTGAGGCCAGATGTGAACTCAGACCTTCCAGTCTAGGACCAACACTGACCATTGCACCACCAGCTGCCTCCTTAGACAAGAGAGGATTCAGCTTTTGCAAGGAAGTGGAGTTGGGAGAAGAGACAGAGAGAAGAGCAATATCTAGAAAGGAGTGGCACCTAAAAGTAGAAAGCAGAAATAGAAGCTTTTTTTTTTTAAAGAAGCAATGAAGCAGTTAAGAGACTCTTGATTTTCTTTTTGGGCTGAAAAACAGCAGCTCACACTTTGTTCCAAACTTGATATAATAATCAAATAATAATAGTAATGCTATTTATATAGCACTTTAAGGTTTACAAGGTACTTTATTTCATTTGGTCCTCACAAAAGACACATGCTGTTATTAACCTCATTTTACAGAAGAGGAAACTGAGGCAGGCTGACTTGCCCAGGGTCACACAGCTAATAAGGGTTGGAGGTCTTCCTGACTTCGGCACCCTATTGTGCCATCCAGCTGACTTTGTTGCTATTTTTAAGTCATTTCAGTCATGTTCAACTCTTTGTGACCCAATTTGGGGTTTTCTTGGTAAAGATACTAGAGAGGTTTGCCATTTCTTCTCTAGCTCATTTTCCAGATGAGGAAAATGAGGCAAACAGGGTTAAGTGACTTGCCCAGGGTCACACAACTAGTAAGTGTCTGAGCCCAGATTTGAATTCAGGAAGATGCGTCTTCCTGACTTCAGGTCTGGCACTCTATCTACTGTACCACCACCTAGCTGCCCCAGCTGCCTTTAAAAAAGGGTAATTTTTCCAAAATAGTTATAATTGCTGTCAAACTAATGATCTTTAGGGGTATCATTAAAGTACAAATAAATATATAAAATGCCTGCAAGCACAATATCTAGTGTTGGAAAAACTGATGCAAAGCTTATTAGTTATGACAACTAAACTCCAATCCTGGCATGGCTACAACATTCTATTAGAAAATGTTAAATTAACCACGTTCTTCATTTTTATTTAATGCCAAACCCAAGAGCATTCCTATTCCACAAGTTCTTGCTTATTTTTAAGTGACATCTCACATTTTCCATCCCTCCACCAACCACAATGACCAAGGTGACATTCGGTAGCCCTTGGTTGGTGGCTCTGCCGTGTGAGGGTTGGAAATCGAGGTATTATTTGGAAGAGATAGAGAAGTTGAGAAAACAGAGAGGCACAGGTGAAGGAAGTGCTGATGAATGAAAGCCACACAGATGCTAGGTCAGGAAAAGCTTTTCTGACCTAGGGGGAAAAATGATTCACACCGGGTGAAAGCTGATCTCCCTGAGCCTACCACCTGCTTCACACACCTTCCTGTGAGAGCCCTGGTCCCAGCAGCATTAAGAAACTGATCTAACTCTGCTTTGAAAGTAAGCACAGTAAATTTTTTTTTTAAGGAGAAAAGAAAAAGAAGGCGGGGAAACATTTAGAGAGATCTGACCCCACACCTGTGTCATGATGAATTAAAGGAGATTAATTTAAATAGGCTGCCCTGTAAAGAGTCCTCAATCCAGGGTGTCTGTAAATAGGTCATAGCCTGCAGTTAACTGGAATATAGCTTAGTTCAAGCAAAGGCCCTTATCCCATAGAAGAATCACTATGTGTATAAGGTCAGGTGGATCTGCATAAATATTCACATGCCCATTTTCTTCAAAACTGCTAGAGATTGAGTCATAAAGGTAGAGGACCGCTTCTGAGCCTAAGAAGAGACTAGAAAATGGAGCCTCCTTTTAAAGGTTATTACTGTTGGCCAGTCTTTTCAAAGGGATTTAAATGAGGTCCTTTCACTATGCCTGCAAAGTTACCCAGTCCAACCCCCTCAGTTGTTCAAATGAGAATGCCACTGAGCAAATGCCAGGCCCATCACTAAGTACCACCCAGGGGCTTCTGTGGGACACATTATTGGTGTGGTGCAAATGGAGGTTAGAGAGCATCCCTGATCTGAGATCCAAAATTCCTTACAAGGTGGATGAAACCAAAGCCTCAACTGGAATGTGGGAAAACATCTGCAGCTCACACCTAATGTGCCAAGAGTGAACTCTTTGAGATGTGTTGTAATCAACGCATTCAATGGCCACCATGTCTACTACCACACTCCAAACTCTGGAATGTTACTGAACAGAACCATCTGTTTCCCCAGTTAAGGCTAGGGACTGGGGAGGGAACAGGTCACTGCTATAAGTCTAAATCGGTTTCACAGATTTAAAAAATTAAGATGGAAATAAAAGGGACAAGGAGGTTGACTCTGAAAGAGTCTTAAGGTTTCTAGAAGACATTTCTTTAAGTAACAGACATTATTTTTAAAATCTGGTGAAGTCCCAACCTTTTAACCTTCTCCTTAGATCACTGCCATAAGGAACGTGGGATAAGCTCAACATTTTATCTATCTACTCTGTCCCAATTTTTTTGGAAATTGATACATATGGTTATTACAACATGAATTTAAATGACATTTTGGAATAACTAAGTAGTTGTGAAGGAGCCAATTACCACCTACCCTTCCCCTCACACACAGCCTCCCTCGTTTGTATTGGGAAGGAGGGGCTGGAACTGTGGGGTCCTCAGTCGACCCAATTCTCTCTACTTATAAAGTCTGGCAGTCCCCTTGCTTGACAGATAAGGAACTGAGACCCACTGAAGTGAAGTAATATGGCCCAGATCCTATAGATATTAAGTAGCAGAGCTGAGATTTGAACCCTTTCTTGCTAGATTCTAAAAGTCAGCAGTTTTCCAATGCACCATGTGACACTGCTTGTTCATAATCTTAGAGAGTTGCCAGGGGTCTAAGATGTTTATTAGATGTTAGAGAAGCATTTGAACCCCAGGTGTGCCTCACTTCAAAGCCGGCTCTTTATCCATGGGGCCACATGATATTTCCATTTGAAATCAGACCTGGATTCAAATCCCATCCATCTCACTTATTGTTTTTCTGAGTTTGGGCAAATCACTGCACTCCTCAAGGCCTCAATTTCCTTAACCATAAAATGAGGAGAAAGGCTCTAGATGGTTTCTAAATTGCATGTAATCAAGCTCCAACAGGGCAGCTAGGTGGCACAGTGAATAGAGTGCCAGGCCTGGAGTCAAGAAGACTCATCTTCCTGAGTTCAAATATGGCCTCAGACACTTACTAGATGCATGACCCTAGGCTAAGTGTCAAGTCACTTAACCCTGTTTGCCTCGTTTTCCTCATCTGGAAAATGAACTGGAGAAAGAAATGGACAACCACTCCAGTATCTTTGCCAAGAAAACACCAAATGGGGTCACAAAGAGTTGGGCATGACTGAAACGACTCAACAATAAAATCTCCAATTGGAGGTTAGAGAAAACCCTGGGCTGAGATTCAAAATTCCTTAAAAGGTGAATGAAACAAAAGTGCTATGAAACAAGGGATTTGGTCCATACCTGTGATTTCTTAAGTGTGGGAAAGGCTCACCAGTAAGTCTTCTGGTGTTGAAAATCCCTCCACTGATACAGAATAACAAATAACCCGGAATTCCGAGGTAGAGTGGTAAAGTAGATAGAAGGTAGCTTTAGATAGATGGGTTCAAGTATCTGACAAACACTAGCTGTGACACTACGGGCAAATCACAAATTCTTGGTGCCTTGGATAACCTCTCTATTTTACTAGTTACTTTTCAGTAAATGTGAGCCATGTAAATCGGTCCAGAGGAGCTTGGCTAGCAATACATATGTGAATTATAACCACAGCCAGCTACAGGCACAAGCTACAATGAGCTCCATACTCATTCTCTCCGTGATTAGGAGAAAGAAGTGGGAATAGCTCAGACAGTGTAGAAGCTGTATTCCTAGGCGGGGAAAGTGGGAGGCTGGGAAGGAAAGGCAAGAGCGCCATGTAAAAAACGTTTCTTAAGAATGGATGATTTTGTCCCAATTTATAAAAAAGCCAAACTTCTGGAAACAGCGAACATAGGGAAGCCATTATTGAAGTTAATTAAAATTAATGTTGTTATGAGAGTTAGCAGACCATAAAAATAAATGATTTAGAAAGTGAAAGACTTCCTGGTAACACACACATTCCTAAAAAAAATTACAAACCACAATAAACCAATGGAAAGTGTGTTGATATTTGCTGGAACCCCTTGCCACAAGAATGGCAAGTCAGCTCTGGAATAGAGGCAAGGGAGAAAAACATTCAAGAAAGAACATGGTGCACACGCACACACACACACACACACACACACACACACACACCTTTGCCAATGTGCCGTCTGGTGTTTTCAATAGTAGAATTCCGGTTAACGTTGGAGAGGAGCCCAAGGCAGAACCGGTTCTTGTTGTTGGAAGGATCAGTGAAACCATCTACCAACACACTTGTGGAGGAGGCATGGAATGCTTCACCCACACGGTTGTTGAGCTCATAGTAGACAATAGAACACCAGTGTTTGGGCTCCTCATAAGCAACTGCCTGCACATCTGCAAAGAAGAAAAGGTTACAGTCAACCCCAGCTGGAATGAATGAGCGTCTGCTCCTTCCAAGCTTGAGTTACGATCCTGCAATGACATTCTAGATAAGCAACTGGTAACAAAACAGAATTTTAAGACATCCAAAGTCAGTAATTCTCATTCAAAGTATCACAGGAGCCTAGAGGTACAGCTGGAAGGGGCCTCAGAGGCAGTATCTAGTCTAAACCCTTCTTTTTAAACATAGGGAAACTGAGGCTGAAAAGTTGAAGTGACTTGTCCATGGTCACGTAAGTAATTAAGCCCAACTCCCAGATCTAAATCTAGAGGTTCCATCCTCCCACAATTTCTAGTTGTTTTCTAACAGTTGCTGATAAAACTCCCTAATATAATTAAAGAAAAAAAAATTGGTAAACCAAAATGGTGCCAGGCATTCAAGTCATCATATTTATAGTACACCAGCTGGATGCTATATAATATATAGAACCTAAGATGGCCCCTATTTAGAACCTGGTTTTACTATCTACATGAATTCAACAAGTGTCAAAAGAAAAAGAAAAAAACAAAAAAAACAAGTAAGCAGGAAAAGAACTTTGATGGACACTCAGGCCAGGAAACATGCCAGGAAATGCCAGTGTAAAAAGGATTAAGTTCCACAGAGCCTTAGTATCCCTAGGCTTCCACAAAGCCATTTAAAACAACTTTTTAATTATTGGTAAGAAGTTACTCTACTTCTAAAGTTGCCAACAAACTCTCAAGGCCACGGCTTTGCCCCAATTCTCAAACTCAGGAAGAAATCTTGCCAGCTGGCCATTCTTCCAGAATGAATCATATCTGTCTCCCACAGATGTCACGCGGACTTCCTTACATTTGCTTTAAGTCATGCAGAGCAGGTGCGTTTTGTCTCTCCATTCCCAGAATGGGCCAACAATGGAAATTACCCAACTTCACTGACAGGATGCAGCTTGTTAAGTCAAGTCTCTTAAGACCAACAAATCTCTGCACCGAACAGGCTCCTGAACATTTGCAACTAAAAGGTTTTTTAAGAAAAGTCTCCATGTAGTAAGATTTCTTTTACCACTGACTACAGATTCCAGTAATACAAAACCTTCCATCTAATATGCCAATATACAATGATCTGAGGTTTATAAAAAGTCTTATCTATATAATCGTTAAAAAGAGAAGAAGAAACAAAGAAAGAAAGAAAGATCCCTAAAAAAGGAGTTGAAGGGTTGGGGGTTGTGAGTTTGTTGCCTTCATGTCAACAGAGAAACCACAAATCATAAAATGCTTTCAATGACAGTTATTTGGGGAAAACAGAAAAGAAAACGACAAGAAAAAAGGAAAAAAATAATACTGAAAGCATTTTTGGTGGCACCAAAAATGGAAACTTTTTTTTCCTCTACTAATGTCCACTCTACTATGGATGACAAAGAACCAAGAGAACAAATGGAAAGAGAAGTAGACTTGGAGTCAGAAGACTCCATCTCACATTTTGGCTATGACACCCCACCCATATGACCTTAGGCGAGGTTTGTCACCTCTCTTGGCCTCAGTCTTCTCATCTGTAAAATGAGCAGAGGCGCCTGAGCTCAAAGGTTACTTCCAGCTTTAAATCCACAATGTAAGTGGAATGATTATGAAAAGGAAATTAAACTCTGAGTAAATGAAAAAGCAATAATGGTTCCAGAGAACAGATAAATACTTCCTTGCTCCTGACACAGAGGTACCGAACTATCAGGCCAGACTGTTGTAGACATCATCAGACTGGTTTTCTTTTACAGTGGAGTCTTTAATCTAGGTGGGAGCTATTAGGAGAAGTGAGAATTTCCAGGGAAAATTGATTTTTTAAGGCTATCAATAGAATATACATACATGTATATACACATAATATGTATATATATTTATATATGCATACAATCATTTAAAATATATATATAAATATGTGCATGCCCTATATATGTATATACATATATGTGTATGTTCTATATATGTACATATGTGCATGTTCTACTATTGATAACCTTAAAAATCAATTATACAGAAATATATTAAACATGTAACATATAAATTATATTTTAAATGTGCAACATAAATATATAAATTATATGTAAATAAAACATACTTACATATTAAAATATATACATATGCATATATATTTGGAAATAAAGTTAATATAGAAACAAAATATATCAATTTTTTTAAATCCTGGATTTTACTATATTTAGTATTTATATAGTATGTCAAGGTTTTCAAAGCATTTCAAATATATTACTTCATTTGATTCTCACAACTCTTTGAAGTAAGTGCTTTTATTATCTCTATTTTACAGATACTTGCAGTTTTCAAAACTGAGAGCTACAATAAGACATAAATACTGATAAACATAGAAAGGAAAACTTCTGAGCTACAAGGATCAACCCACAACTGAGAAATGCTACTTAAAAGACAAATTCATTTCCTGAATTCAGGCTTCTTAGGCTTATCTAGGACATAAGCATGACATTAAACAAGCGTCAAAGAGCTGTTTTGGCTTGTAAATTCCCCAAGGTCACTTGGCTACCCTGCTTACTTTATCCCTGGGTCTATATGTCCCCTCTCCACTTGCTGCTGTTCCACTATTTCAATGCACCCTCAAAGGTGTGTGTTAGGAAGAAGTTAATTTTTTCACTTCTTTATTCTGTGGTTTTTGGTCTTTTCAGGTTTGAGAAATCTATGCTGGAAATGAGTGCCTAGAGGAAGACACACAAAATCTCTCTCTGACTGCAAAGCTCTACGTGGTAAATGCTTATGTCAGAAAGGAGATCGAGCCAGTCCTTCTACAGCTGGAGAAGCATCTGGAAATACAACATCTAGATTCCACAGTGACATCAGCAGGGGCCTGGAAACAACTCCCATAAGAAGAGAGGTGCAAAGCCCAATTTATTACTTTTTGCATTTCTAAAAGAGGGCCAAAGTATAAGCGCTTTGAGTCTGTCAACAATTTTATAGATTGGAAGATATCAGCAACGGTGTGATAATCAGGCTTCCTATCAATAGAAAATTAACTAGTGAATTCTGGCCAAGTCCAAAAGGTCCACCTTCTTAATGAGAATAGTTAACATTTAATACAGCACTTACTATGTGCCAGGCACCGTACCAAGACCTTTACAAATATTGACTCATTTGATCCTTATTAAAAACCTTGGGAGTTAGGGCCTGTTATTATCCCCATTTGAGGAAACTGAGGCAATACTCCGGGTCACATGGCTAGTAAGGATCTCTTCATTTTATTTAAAAAAAAAACAAAACCAAAACCTGGCAACATAAATGATGTACAATGCATGCCTAGTAATCAAATGGCATTTTACTTCAATTTGCAACAGCTACATTCAAGTTGAATTAATTATGCCTTGTGCCAAGTGTACCAGAAAAATCTCTTTAGTGAGATGCTATTTTGGGACAGGAGCTTATCCAACGTGGCTACCATGGTTACTGATAATCACCTCCCGATCAGATAGCCTTGGAATCTTCCAAGGTTATTTTTCCCAATCTTGCACCCTCTTAGGCCTTTGCAACTTGGCATCTTGGCCTGGCCTTGGCTTTATCCTTGCATCAGATGGCTCCAAACACTCCCACTCTCCTACCCCCAAGATCTTCCCAGAGTAATGCCAGTCGTGAGGCCAGAGGATGGTAGCAATGCAGAGATGTACTGGCAGTAATTCTAATTGGTTGGTCAGCAGCTATTGTCTGCAGCCAGGGATACTGTTCAAGTCAGAGGATCGCAGACTTAGGGCTAGAAAGATCCTTACAAGTGATCTAGTACACCCTCCTCATTTTACCAATGTGGAAACAACTGAGATTCAGACAGGAAAAACAACCTGCCCCCAGGTCACACAGATACGAAGTAGCCAAGTCAGGATACACACCCAGGTGTGACTAACTCTAGCATTTTCTCTACTGCATCACACTGCTTCTCTCAGGGAGAGCTTGAATGTGCCATAAGAGAAAGGCAAAGGAACTTTTCAAAAGGCCCAGTTTCATTCAGTTCCAATTTTGGACTTTCCGGCCAAGTTTCTAGGTCCACATTACTATCTCCATCCTAAGCTCAGCATTCCTTCACCCTTATTTCAGGCAAAAGATACTATTCTCCCTCCTTTCTAATTGTAAATTAATAGGTGGTTAATAATAGGGCAGAATTAAAATTCATTTTGGGCTAGTTAAAATTCAAATTTATTGTTACTGTCCAGTCATTTCCATAGTTTCTGACTCTTTGTGACCCCATTCAGGGTTTTCTTGGCAAAGATACTGGAACGGTTTGCTATTTCCCTCTCCAGCTCATTTTCCAGATGAAGAAAGTGAGGCAAACCAGGTTAAGTGACTTGCCCAGGGTCACATAGCTGTTTGGTGTCTGAGACCAGATTTGAACTCAGGAAGAGGAGTCTTCCTGACTCTAGGCCTGGCATTCCATTCACTGAACCACTCAGCTGCCCCTTCAAATTTATACTTTTCCTTTTAAAAAGGCCTTTTGTTTTCTATTTGTTGCCCAACTGATTCTGAGCATCTGGCTAGTCTAACCTGGCTGATCAGAGAATGCAGCCACTCCCAAATATCATACTTTTCTATATGTTAACAAGAATGCATATGGGGAGAACAGAGTACAGACGAGACCCGTTATGAGGGTCTATGAATGCAAACAAATGAACCAAATATGCAAAAGAAGACCAAGACTGTAAGATCAGCCATTATATCTTAGGGGATGAATTCCTCTTTTTAAATGTTCTTTTTAAAACTGATGCCTTTTGTTTTTACTTTCATGGTCATTTATGAGAAGCAGAGGGACCGCAGTGGCTTAGAGACCTGGCTTTGGAGGCTGGAAGACCACCTCTTATGATACTGGCTGTGTGACCCAGAGCAAACCACTTAGCCTCTCAGTGCTCTAGGCCAGTGGTATCAAACTAGGGCCAGATTGACTTAGAAAACCTCAGATTAATATTATCTATGAGGTATCACATTTTTATTCATTTTGTTAAAATTTCCAATTACATTTTGATCTATGGAGTTTTGCAGCAGGTCGTTCTGACACCTTTGGATCATCAGCTGTTAAGCTGCCATGAAGGTTTTGATCTGGATTGGGTAGGAATTTCCTCCTTGGGGAGTATAGGCTATCAATGGATTTACAAGTCTAGCCATATTTGTAAAAGGATCATCATAGTGCCTGACACATAGCAGACACTTAATAAATGCTTATTCTCTTCTCTTCTTCTATCTTTGTCATTTCTGGATCTCTCTCTCCTCTTCCCTACAGAGAAGACTTCCCTTTCAACAAGGATTTACAAAAGGAAAAAAAAGAAAAAGAAAAAAAATTCAGCAAACCCCAAACCAAACAAAACACTGTCCACCTCGGGCAATATAAACAATATTCCATATCTTATGGTACAATTTCCATTAATCTAATGTAAACACAGCTACAAAGTAAACTGATTTTACTGATGTTCAATATTGGCTATAACAAATCATTAAAAAACAAAAAAGAATGTAAAAGGGAACATTAACATTTATACTTGATAAACTTTGGCTCAAGGAAACTAATTAGTGGCCATTCATTTTACCTCCTCTGTTTATTTCTGGAGGCATGGGAGGAGCCATCATGTTTGTATCCATCGGCTGTGAGCCATCCTGGGTCATGGGGTCTTCAGGAGGAAGGTAAGCAGGAGGAGGAGTATCGGCTGGAAGGTTGGAAAAAAAATCACAGAACGTTATCCTTTCAAGTCAGATTAAATAAACACACACACACACACACACACACACACACACACACACACTCACACACACTTTCTCTCACTCTCTCTCTCTCTCTCAGCCTGGACATACTTGGTGGATGAAGCAAGTTTCCATATTCACCAAGAGAAGTAATGAGTGCAAGGAAACCAAGGTTGGTTCCAGGGTATAGGCATTTTGGGTGAGAGGTATGCTTCCTATCCAGGGATCACTTTCCCCAAGGTCCCATTACTGTTGCCCTCCTTCACCTTCTCCTCCAAATGCTTGGCACTCTGGGGGACAGGAGAGCTTGTCTCCTGGTGAAACTTTACTCCCAGTCAGACTATCCTATCCCTTAGCCCTCTCTCTCCATGTCCCAAATTTGCCAAAGGCATAAGACTTCCTAGTTACAGCTGTCTCTCTACTCGCCTACCCCACCCCAACAAGACATAAGGAGAAGTCACGGTCTTTATGCAAAGTGAACATTTAGAAGTTAGATATAGTTTCTGAAAGTAATTACCATATTGCCTTCCTACACTGAGTGAGGGAGATAGAGAGGTAGACTGGTATTTGCCAAATCCTTTAGTTTCAAAATGACCCACATAGCACCTACTACACACACCCCTGCATGCCAACGTCAAAAAACTGGCTGCACTTCCCATTTTAAAAGCATATAGGAAAACCACTTGAATGATGCCCCTTGTGATCTTAGGTTAAGAAGCTTTAAAAAGTTTGTTTTATTCAACATGTCCATGCTCAAAGAATAGCTGCATTCATCTCCACTACAATCTATCAACTGAGTGGCTTGTAGCAGAAGCAATTGCTGGGTTATCAGTACTTCCTCCTCCCCACCCATTCTGGGAACCCTGACATTTCAAACTATCAGCACAGATTAACAGCAGAGGAATTGGCTAGCCCCAGCAATCCTAACTTGGATCCTTAAGGATACTTTTCAAAAAAGCAGCTAGCCAATTTACAGATCAAATAGTACGATGATACGCTTTTAGCAATGAGAATTGTTAATATTCATTTATCCTACATAAAATAAAAAAGGAGCTTCCTCCCATATAAATCTTATCCCATACTGAATAGTAGGGAAAAAGGAGGGAAAGAAACAAGTATTTATTAAGGACTTCCTATGTGCTCAGTGCTTTATAAATATTATCTCATTTGACCCATACAACAACCACAAGAGGTAAGGCTATTGTGATCTCTATTTTACAGATGAGGAAACTGAGGCAGACAGCGGTTGAGTGACTTGCCGGGGCTCATACTACTAAGTGTCTGAGGCTGAATTTGAACTCAGGACTTCTGGACTTCAGTTCCAGTGCTCTTTCCACTGTGCCACCTAACTGCCTCCAAACAACTCTCACAGGATATTCTGAGCTACTCTAGACTTTATAAGGTCAACCAGACCAACCCTTCATTTTACAGATAGAGTACATGGCAGTGCTGGGATTTGAACCTAGGCCCTCAACTTCAGATCTAATGTTCTATCCATTGCACCATCTTCATCCAGTCACCCTACCTAAATGTCCTCAGGGATCAAGTATTAACTAGGGCGGGCAGCTAGGCAGGTGGTGCCATAGTTCATAGAGCTTCCAGTCAAGAAAACTCATCTTCCTGAGCTTACATCTGACCTCAGACACTGACTAGCTGTGTGACCCTGGGCAAGTCACTTCACCCTGTTTGCCTCAGTTTCCTTATCTGTAAAATGGACTGGAGAAGAAAATGACAAACCACTCCAGTATCTTTGCCAAGAAAACCCAAATGGGATTACAAAGACTCAGACCTGACTGAAAACGACTGAACATTAATGAACAACATTAATGAGAGCAGATGTTGCCCTTGATCACTGAAGGCATCTGTGAGTTTCAAGCTATCAGACCTATCTTTCTTCTCTATGTCTAGGGATTCCCAAGACAGGGGAGGTAGTCACACAAAATAGTGAGTTCAGTGGCCTGGGAGTCACAAAGATTTAGGTTCTAGTCCTACCTTTTTTTAAACTAAGTAAATGTGGAAGATTTAGCAAGTCAGTCTACCTCTCTGAGAGGTGGAGACTAACATTTGCCCTGTCTACCTTATTTTGCTGAAATAATGTGCTTCCCAACTAGCTTTCCCAAACAATTTAAATCCTCCAGGGCAGACCATTCCCTCTTTTGTATCTTTGTATCCAGTGGCTAGCATATAATGCTTAATAGTTATTGAAAGAATGAATAGGAAAACAAGAAGGTGTAAGCCCATTACAAATATAAAGACTCATTATACTCCAAGTATACCCTGGCTCTGGCCTCTCATCCCACAGTGGCTAACAGAGGGTGCCTGCCTAGGAAGTTTTCAAGGGAATGACTCAAAGGCCTGACTCAGGGCTCCACAGCCTCCTCTGGATGCCTTTTTCACCCTCTCTCCAATTCCTTTTAATTCAATTTCTCCACCACAGCTGCATTGCTGACTGCTTCACCTCTGGTCAGGAATGCAGACAAACAACCTCCTCAGAGACAAAATTCAGTGAACTTCTACAAACCAGCTGGTGGGAATGAACCGAGAGAATTCTCTCACAGGGGACAGAAGAGCATCCACAGAACAGAGGTGCTCTGATCCGCAGTGATTCATATGGGGAATGGTTTCAAGATCCAGGCCAAAGCTAAGAAGCTTATAACACTGGTACCAAGTTAATGGTTTGTGAAGATCAGGGTGGTAGAGTGGAAAGGGCACTGGATTTTCATTCAGAAGATCTGGGTTCAAATCACAACTCCGCTAGGATATCTAATGATATTGTACAAGCCACCTGACCCCTCTAGGCCTTAGTTCTCTCATCTGTAAAATGGGAGAGTTGGATTAGATAAATCTTTGAAGTTTCTTCTCATTTTTTATGCTCTCAGTAAAGAAGAATGTTACCTACCTCCTCAGAGAGCAGTGAAGGACTAAACACGAAGAATGAGAATACATTTTTGGACATGGTCAATGTAAGACTTAGTTTTACCTGACTATGTATATTTGTTATAAGATTTTGTTTTTCTATTTTTTTGAGGGAGTAAACAGGGTAGTAGATAGAGCACTGGGTCCGGAGTCAAGAAGACTTAAGTTCAAATCTGGTCTCAGACACTTACTAGCTGTGTGACCCTGGGCAAGTCACTTATGCCTGTTTGCCTCAGTTTCTTCATCTGTGAAATGAGCTAAGCTGGAGAAGGAAATGACAAACCACTCCAATATCTCTGCCAAGAAAACCCCAAATGGGGTCATGAAACATTGGACACAACTGAACAAACAACCATAACAGGTAGTAGGTGAGCGTGTTAATTTTAAAATGTTTAATTAAAATCAAGAAAAAAAAACTATAGTCTTACCAATTCTGGTCAGGAACACGTTTTCCCCCCTTAACACTTCATCTCTCTGTTCCTTTCCCTTCCTGATGATCCCATCCCAGGCACCCAGTAACAATGGTTCACCCCGATAGTGGAACACATTCTCTTTCTTCAGATCCCAGGCCATTAATTATTCAACACAGTCCATTCTTCCTAGAAAACTAGCCCTGCCCCCACTGGGCACCCAACCCTTAAACTGATCATTATATTACTCACTTTTCCTTCTCTTCGTGTGTCTGGGAGGACACAGCCCTGAGACAAAGGCAAAGGAAGAGAGCCACCTCAAAAACCTCAAGGGACTATTTTTAGGGCACAGTCAGCACTGGAGCTGAATTTAAGTGGAGAGGGGGATGAGAGAAAGGGAGAGAGAGGAAAAGAAAAAGAGAGGGGGAAGGGAAAGGATAGAAAGGGGAAGAAAAAGAGAAAGAAAAGAGGAAGGAGAAAGAAAGAGGGGGAGAGAGGAAAGGAGAGGGAGAAAGGGAAGGAAAGGGAGGGACAGAAGGAGGGAGGGGGAAGGGGGAGAGAGAGAGAAGAGAAGAGAAGAGAGAGAAGAGAGAATCCCTTTCAGGGACTAAAAATACATTCTCACCCATAGTCCTTCCAAGAAAGGAAAATATTTATTGATGTCAAGTATATTTGGTATATCTGTTTGTTCAGTTGGCCTTCTTGGGAACTAACAGCCACACATGGGGCTTTGATCCCCACCCTGCCTCAGCTGCCTCTGTAACTTCAGAAGGGGAAAAGGTGAGGATTTAATTCTTCTCTTTGACTTGATAGCACTAAGCAAGACTTGGGCAGAGGAAGAGGGAAATAATAATTCTGTTGTCTCTAGGACATTAAACAAGTGGATGGTTTCCAGGACCTCTGTTGCAATTGTTTCTTAGCTCTAGTATATTTGTTCCTTGTGATTACATCACCATTCAAATAAATTTAATCAAATGGGGGTGGTATGAACTCTAGGGAAATATCTTTCTTTTGTGGAATAGTAACCCGAGGTTGAACTCACAACCTGGTATCTTTCCTGTATTGAGATGATGTGGAAGGGGGGGTTATGTTTTTCATAATAGCAAATGTGTATAAAACATTTATAAAACACACACACACACACACACACCCCTCTCTCACACAAGGACCAAAGGCTGCAACAACTACACTGCTCCCAGAAGGATGCAGCTGTTTTCAAAACCTTTTAAGATTGAAGTAGGGTGGGGGATTGGGGGTGGAGAGAGGAAATCTCCTTTAAGCATCTGTGCCTGATGTAGAAATTGGACCATACAACAGACCACTAGTCATCCACTTGCTTGCCTGTGATGCTACTTTTTGCCAAAATCTGTGTTTCAAGATTACGATTTTGGGGAATAGCACTGGCCACCAGCCACAGAAATAACAAGGCTTTACAAGGGTTCAGAATCACCACCCGTCACTAGAGTTAGGTGACTCAGCTCCTGGACACCCGAGAAAAAGAGAAAGCTGACCTGACTTCACCCCGGAAGGAGGGGGAGGGAGAGAGAGAGAGAGAGAGAGAGAGAGAGAGAGAGAGAGAGAGAGAGAAAATAAAGGAAGGAAAGAAGGAAGGAAACAAAATTTCATACCACAGAACCTCCATGGCCCCCAATCAAGAAGAGGCACAACTTACCTGGCATCTGAAAAGGACTTCCTGGATCTGAACTGGTGGGAGAGTGTGGATAGGTGCTGCTACTGCTTCCTGGAGAGTTCGGATAGCTGCTGCTGGGCGAATGAGGGAAAGGGTGGCTGTTGGGTTGTTGGAAAGAGTCTGGGAAGGTGGCATTGAGTGGCATGTGAGGCTCATTTTGTCCCAAGTTACGGAACTGAGCTAACAGACTGTGCTGAGGGTTATATTCACTGTGTCTTGGAACCAACACAGGTGGAAGAACTGAATGGGGAGGAAAAAGAAACAAAAATGCGATCAGTGATGCTCTGAATTAGATCTTAGCAAGGCTGAAATAAGCTATACATGAATAAATAAAAATATAGAACATGAGCTATAAATAAATAAAATCAGTTTAAATCTACTAATATTCAGTAAGCACCTGGGCAAAAGCACTCTGCTAAGTGTCTGTCCTCGAGGAGTTTATAATCTAGGAGCCCATTGTAAGACATACACACAAGGAACAAGCTAGAAAAACAAAGGATTGTTGGAACTGAGGGGAAGGGAGAAGATGGGGATGGGGTATTGAAGGAAAGACAGAGAGAGGGAAGGGGAAAGGGAGAGATGGAGAGAAGCAGACAGAATGAGAAAGGAGTAGAGAAAAGGAAACAGCTTGCTCTCACCTTAGAATAGGGTACAAGGAAGGTTTAATATCAGACATCCAAGAAAAAAGGTAGTACTTAGGACCTGGGCTTTAAAGGATGCATAGTAATAATGGCTAACATTTGTTTGGTGCTTTTAAGTTTTACGAAGTGCTTCATATAAATTATCTCATTTATTTTTTACCCACCTAGTCACCTAAGTATTATGGTATTGTGCCCACTTTATAGATATGAAAATAGGCTCAGAGAGTTAAATGACTTGCCCATGGTCACAAAACAAGTAAGGAAGCACTGGAAAGAAAACTAGTCTTGGAGGACCTAGGTTCAAATCCTG